CTCTCTCTCTCTCTCTCTCTCTCTCTCTCTCTCTCACAATATCAAATTACTCTTTTGTTCTAAGGTTCTAATCAACAGATTCAACACGGAGCCCTCATATTCAACACAGGGTTCTGATTTTATATAATTATGTTGTAAATCTTTCTCTCTGGCTTTGTTGTTCTTGTTCGAAGCTTGAATCTCTCTCTCATTGTGGTTGATTCTTCGTTTTTGCATTTGAATTCAAGTATCTGATGATTCAAAGGCCTAATTCATTTCTGGTAAAGATTCTAATCTTCTCTCTCTGGCTTTGTTGTGCTTGTTCGAAGCTTGAATCTCTCTTTCATTTCTTAAACATGTTCGATTTCTCTCATTTTTGCATTTGAATTCAAGTATCTGATGATTCAAAGGCCTAATTCATTTCTGGTAAAGATTCTAATCTTCTCTCTCTGGCTTTGTTGTGCTTGTTCGAAGCTTGAATCTCTCTTTCATTTCTTAAACATGTTCGATTTCTCTCATTTTTGCATTTGAATTCAAGTATCTGATGATTCAAAGGCCTAATTCATTTCTGGTAAAGATTCTAATCTTCTCTCTCTGGCTTTGTTGTGCTTGTTCGAAGCTTGAATCTCTCTTTCATTTCTTAAACATGTTCGATTTCTCTCATTTTTGCATTTGAATTCAAGTATCTGATGATTCAAAGGCCTAATTCATTTCTGGTAAAGATTCTAATCTTCTCTCTCTGGCTTTGTTGTGCTTGTTCGAAGCTTGAATCTCTCTTTCATTTCTTAAACATGTTCGATTTCTCTCATTTTTGCATTTGAATTCAAGTATCTGATGATTCAAAGGCCTAATTCATTTCTGGTAAAGATTCTAATCTTCTCTCTCTGGCTTTGTTGTGCTTGTTCGAAGCTTGAATCTCTCTTTCATTTCTTAAACATGTTCGATTTCTCTCATTTTTGCATTTGAATTCAAGTATCTGATGATTCAAAGGCCTAATTCATTTCTGGTAAAGATTCTAATCTTCTCTCTCTGGCTTTGTTGTGCTTGTTCGAAGCTTGAATCTCTCTTTCATTTCTTAAACATGTTCGATTTCTCTCATTTTTGCATTTGAATTCAAGTATTTCATGATTCGAAGCCCTAATTCATTTCGTAATGACTCGAGATAAGGAATTTTCCATGGCTACACAATACTCATTTTGATTTTGCATTCTATCTCAATTGTTTTTATTCATTTTCAATTATGAAACTACTCGGATCTATATTCAATTAGTTTGTATTTGCCTAGTTTGTTCGATTGACATATGGTTTCGATTTTGGGGTTTTGAAACATTTGTGTTATCGATGTTTTGGTAGTGTAGAGATTTTTAGGTTTTTCTTTTTAAACATTTGTGTCGATGATGAATAACTCTGATTCTTTCCCAATCTATCCTTGGTAAAGGTTTTGACTTCATCTTTTTTCACATCTTAACTTCTTCTTCTCTCTCTTATATATATATATATATATATGTATCTATAGACTAGTATATATGTGTTTATAATACATACATATATATCTGTGAGTGTGTGTGTATGTATTATACGAATGATTGAATTACAGTAATGTTGTCAATTAGGTTCAATGCTCTGTTATCTTTTTGTTATTTTTGAAGGAGTTTTGATTAAGTAATTTTTGCTGAAATTTGGTTCTTTGAATGGTGTTGTTCATATGGGAGTTCAAGACGGTTTATTTACAGTTTCTATTAGTTGAGATCAACCTAAAGGTCAGTGGATAAACTTGGGCTATAGACTATAGTGTTAGGCATGTTTTGAATTGGGGTTAAGCAATTTCAATAGGAGATTTGTGGGCTGACGATGTTTAGAAACTGTATTATTGCATGTTAATGTTATGAGGAATTTGCACTTACAATTAAGGAACACACACCCTATGTGAGAAATTTCTTGGAAAGTTCTATGCTTGGGTTCACAAAAAAAAAAAAAAAAAAAATCCACATTACCTTTCTCTCTCTTTCATTTTTGCAATCTTAAGATGATTAAATGTGCAACATTAGGGTATTCTTTTCAAATGGGTTTATCTATTTTCTTTCATAGACTTTGTTACAAACTGATTTGACTTTTGTCTCTTGAAGGTCTCAAGGAAAATTGATATGTTCCAATTTCTTTTATTTTTCACTGTCAATATCTATCTACATGTTCAATTTCTTAAATAGTTTACTTCCTTCATGTTCCTAAGTGACAAGGTCAATGATCTTACTTTATTGAATTTTAGATCCTCTTTCTTCATTAATTTACATCACCATCTAAAATCTTGCTTGTATTGACATTAATTGTAATTCCAGTAGGATCTAAGGCATGACATAAAAGAGAATAGTCATAATTGTAGTCTTTGGAGCTAATTTTAGCAGTCACTGTCAATATGCCACATTTGTGAGAAGATATATTCATTACTATCATTAGATTAATTCTTTGTGGAACAAATTCAAGGTGTCTATTATTGTTGGCATGTAATGATAATTTGTTAATGAGTAAGATAAATACAATCTGACTAGCATAGAGCATAGCAGCAAATTGGGGTTTAAGAATCCAAATTAGGCTTCAGAAGATGCTAAGAAATTGGTTAAATGGAAGTTGATGCTTTGGAACCCTGATTGTTGCAATCATGGTTTTGGTGCATCTCTCAAAGAGTTTTTTGACTTGATGCTGCAGTGTTATAGTGGAAGTTGATGCTTATCTAATACATAGTCCATTCAACTATGTTTTTTTGGTTATATTCTTATGCTTGTTGCAGTGATTGATAATAAGTAGTAATTTTCTTAATCTGAGTTATGTCCACAGATATTCTTTGACATTATTGATTTCTTATGTGGCAATGTGCATGTTAGATGAGTAATATTTCATGAGGCAGTTCCTGATGTTAAATTGTTTGTAGAAGATGCTTGTTGCTTACTGTTGTTTGTTTTGTCCAATATTGTTAGGAGCTTGACGAACTTCTGGAGGAGGTTCAAGAGGCTAGAAGAATTAAATTGTTGCATCAGCCCAGCAAGGTATGTTAAATGGAGTTCTTTGCCTTTTTCTTGTTTAGGTTGATGTAATTTTATCAAACATCCAATCATATTTTGCCTGATCAATTCAAAATATTTTTTGTACATCCAATAATATAAAAATATCTATAATGTATTGATGTTGTATATGCTGCTTTATTTTTCTTCTTTTGCTTGCTGAATTCTTTGCATCATTTATTGACAGTTCTGTGATTTTTAGTTTGCTGTGGTGTTAAATGACTGTGTTCTTACAGTTGTTGGGTTTGCTTAATTCTTTTCTTTCATATTGTTGTCTTGTCTGCAGTAATGAATTATGTTTTGTTTGTATGCTATAAATACAAAGTTTATGATGAATATCCTGCTGCAACAAAATAATCACCTGTTTGAATTTGAGAAATTGTGGTATATTTTGTAGGTGATTGACATGGAACATGAGCTTCAAGCTCTACGCATGCAGATTCGAGAAAAGTCTATAATTTCGGTTAAGCTCCAAAGAGAGGTTTGTGACTGTTTTGTTTTACCTTCCTCATTTTCCTTATAAACAAAGTTTTAATGCCTTATAAATTGAAGTTCTTAGAAGGCAACACTTGATATTGTGTTTGGTAAGTAGATTGTAAAAGGTAGGATTAAAAAATCCAATGCTGCTATACATGCAGCACAAGAATTTAAGTCATCATGAATTTTCAGCTCTTGTTTGGTAAGTACCATTTTTTTTCCATGGGAACTGACTTTGCAGAGTAAGATTGGAGAGGAAAAATAATATGGCGCCTTGATCTCTTATTTCAAAAATGTGTGCTTAAATACAAACACAATAGGAGACAACCCTAATGAATAAAAGGAAGAGAAGTGTCATTAACCCAAAAAGGAAATGTTAATGAATACCAAAATATATCTTCACATTTTTATTATGGAGGGATTTATCATTTATCACGTAGGATATATTTGGAGGGTTCAAATATATAAAAGTGTCGCTGCAGTGTCTAAGAAAATTTGTTTAGTGCTTGATATAGTAAATTTGATTTTTTAATTAAGACACTTTAAAGAAGTGTCGGACACACTTACAGAAGTGTCGGACACACTTACAGAAGTGTCGGACACACTTACAGAAGTGTCGGACACACTTACAGAAGTGTCGGACACACTTACAGAAGTGTCGGACACACTTACAGAAGTGTCGGACACACTTACAGAAGTGTCGGACACACTTACAGAAGTGTCGGACACACTTACAGAAGTGTTGGACACACTTATAGAAGTGGCCAAAGAGTTTCAGTGTCTGACATGGGTGTCCAACACGACACACTTTCTCCTTAGAAGTGTTCATGCTTCTTTGGATCTATCTATCCTCTTCTCTCTCTAAGAAACTTAGTCTCTCTCATCTAAAACAATGGAAGTTATATTTTAAAGTGGGTAGAAGAAAATGGTTCAATCGTTATTTTTAGTAACAACAAATAAACATATACAAAAAATTTAGAGCTTCAATAGCAAAGCGTACATAATGAAATAACATGTAACATAATGAAAAATCACATGGGAGATGGGGTCTGAGGGTTGTTAATAATGATGGTGAGGTTAGTGAGTTGAGGTGCAAATGGTGAGGTTGAGTTTCTAATTTGTTGTGCTTTCTTAATCTTCGCAGCTGGCAATGAGCAGGAGGGCTGAGGAGAACAAGTTCCGTGTATATGAGTTCTGTGGTTCTGAAACTTTAGGTTCAGCTTTGCGAGTTCAACCTTGCTCAGATGAAGCTCAAGACCTGTCAAAATGTTCAATCCAGTGGTATCGTAAACCGACTGAAGGTAGCAGAAGGGAACTTATTTCAGGTATCCATTCTATTTTCTTGAATGTGTGGTTGACTTTGTTACAGTGCTTATCTTGGACAACTTTTAAATTATGCAGCTTAAATGGAAAATCATATTTACTGCTGTGATGTATTTAGCACAGAGTGCAGTAATATCAAGTTCTCTATTGATGTCTTTTGTTTTAAACTATAATATATATCTCAAAAAGTTTTGATTTCCTAAATAGTGAGTACCCAGTGCATAACTAAGGATGTATTTTAATAATGGTCACTAGGGTAGTGTTTAAACCCCTCACTTTACCTGCTCCTGCATGTTCTGACTCTGATACCATGTTACATGGTCTTGGATAAAACTCAACTCTAAAAGTTAGTTGTTGAGTTGAGGGTGCCCTTACATTTGTATACTACACATTACCTTTGTACCTAGGCGATGTGAGACGTCGCTTCACACACTTGAACCAGAGACCTTTTGTCTCAAAGGGTAGTGCTGAAGTGCCCCGTAATTTTTTTATTAACCCAAGGGTGTTGTTAGGCCTTGCTCCTGACCTAGACTGGCATAGTGCATTGGAGTATATCACGGAGAGGGGGCCAAAGCAATGGAGATAGAGGATATACTCAGAAGATATGTTTGGACAGAGGGTACTACTCAAATGGAGGCTATGCTTGGCCGAGCTCTTGGACCCGAGCATATAGCACCCGAGTATTTGAATTTTTGGATTAAATAACCTCTGGCCTGAGACTAACCTAAGTTTTGACACGATTCTTATCTGTCAGCCTATCCCTCTGAATGCCTATTGGTTAAATTACTACACTCTAAAATTCATTGGCTTCTTAATTTGGACAATATGATGCTAATGGGTAACCGTTTGTGTTGAGTGGATCTGATTCCTTCATTGTTTCCTTAAATTGCGGTGGAGTCAAGTGGATCTGCAACATGTTTCAGTCAGCTGGCCACACAGCTTTTGCTTCCTCTTAGAATATGCCGTGCTCATCTACTACTAGAAATGTACCTTAGACAGCATTACTTAAGTTTGCATTCCAGTGTCTTTTTCTTGAAGCAGTTATTATTTATTTATTATTAGTTTTTTCACATTTAGCGAATGGGATGTTGTATACGTATTGTTGATGATGTTCATCAATTCAGGAAAATAATTATTATGTCTAGAAGATATGGTTAGTTGAGACCAGTATTTGGAAATATATTTACTTTTCTGCAATTGAATTTCCACTAGGTATCTGTTTTCGTAATACAGGATTCACTTGCTTCTCTCTAATCACTTTATATACTTGAGTGCATATACTTTCCAAAAATAGATTTATGTCTTAAGTTGGAATACATTTCCATACTATTTTTGTGGCCATTGACTATTGTACATTTTATTCTATTTGTGTGTATAATTTTGGACCCCAAAAAATTGTAGGCAATGGTAAGGCACGCCCACAAGTGACTTAAAATATTTTGATTTGATTATATTATTACACACGGACTTAGCGAGACCCATATTTTACAATAACATCAAGTTATTTTTTAAATTTGGCCTGGTCAAGAATTGAGTCTATACTTGTATTCTCGAGTCCACTTAAATTTAAAATAAAAAATTCTAAGTTTAACCCAAATATTGTTTAATAAAAATACTTTTGTCAAATTTTAAAATAAAAAATGTGGTTACCTTAATAATTTGAGTGCCTCTTTTACTTTTTCAAAATTTGTTAACAATTTTTTTAGATGCTAATAATACATTTTATATTTATAAAAAGTTTTTAAAAAAAAAAAAAAAAAAACTTAATGTATAAATATGTATATCTATGTATACGGATAACACAATTTGTAATTGAGCTTTGAAAATCCATCCAGCTTGGTCTTTTGACTCAAATATTTAATAGTAGTATAATTTTTAGAATTGTATGATAGTGGTATACTTAATAAATCATTATTATTATTATTATTATTATTATTATCAATGAAAAAAATCATAATAAATTATTTATAATTTTGTGTACAAATTTTATGCCTCTCCCTCTTGATTTCACTGTGGAGAAGACTTTTTATTAAACAAGATTCTTACACTATCTCTATTTTTATTTTGGTCAACTTATTCCTCTCTATTTTGGGGAGATGGTCAAAAGTCATCTTTTAACTTTTAACTCGTTTTGGATCATATCATCTCGTATATTTTTTACGCGTTTTTTCAAAAAAGTCAAAAAAAAAATCAAAATGTCAACTTATAATCATTTTCTTAAAACAATTACATGTCTCTCACTCTTTGATTTTTTCTTTTTCTTTTTTAATCCAATTATGTATAAAACCAAATCTGTTACGATCTCAAAATCAAAAGCCCTTTAACATGATGTTGAAATCTGTTACGATCTCAAAACCAAATCTGTTCACTATTTTACTTTATTTCAAAAAAAAATTATTGAAATCTTGAGTGTATTGATTCCTCCCCCCCAAATCCATGCAGCATGATATTCCTGTATATGTCAAAAACTGGAGTTTTTTTTTTAATTTTCTAAAAAAAAAAGAAAAGAAAATTTAAGGAATTGACTTACTTTTCAAACTATTTGAGAAACTAACCTATTTTTTGAAATAGCATTTTGAAAATGAGATTTTTAAATTGAAATTGCATTTTGAAAATGCAATTTCAAAAAGTGAAACTCATGTCATCATAAATTACATTTTCAAAGTACGATTTTAAAAAGTAGATTAATTTCTCAAATAATTTGAAAAGTGAGTTAATTCTCTAAATTATTTATTTAAGCAGATGGTTATTTCTTCGTTATATTCATTTTTTTTTTTAATCTGGTGATGCTTGATAATGTTTCTTATAGTACTCATATAGATTATCTTGCCAGGTTTTGTAATGTCATGTAAGATGAGTGATTTTGGAATTGGTTGTTTTGTTTGGTTAATGCTAAAAGTCTGCCACTTGACGCAAAAGAAATGCAGGGTCCTATATATGGGCTCCTGCTGATGACGAATTGATTTTTCTCTATTTAATTATGCATTTTTCTTTCCTACAAGTATGACATAATTCCCTCCCGACGTTGGCCTCGATTTCACTATCTGTCCCCTATTCTCTCTCAGTGTCTTCAAGTCGCAATCCTCCCACTCGCAAGGTAGGGTTTCCGATTGTGAATCACGACATTGTGCTTCGATTGGGTCACCGAAGGCTAGGGTTTCCACCACCACAGCCACCTTCATCATCATCAGCTTCCTCAAATTCTACATTGACGCCGCTGTCTTCTCTTTCTCTCTCTGCTTCGAACCCCCATGGGAGCTCTCTGGTACCTCTCTCCCTCTCTCTCTCTTTCTCTCTATGCTTCATGTTTAAATTGTTGATTCATGGTCTGGTTTATCATTATTTCTGTTTCTGGTTCATTTCTATTTATCATCATTTCTGGTTTATCATTTATGTTTCTGTTTCTGGTTTATGCTTCATAATTTCTGTTTAAATTGTTTAAGTTCATTTTTGTTGGCTATTTTAAAAAAAAGAGGAAAAAAAATAAAGGGGTTCTTACCATATACTCCCTAGATTTTGGTTTATAAAGCTTGGTTCCTTTGTTTTGTTTATTTATTCATTTGCCAAATTATTTAATTATGATTTCATTTCGCTTGCAAGATTTGATTATTGTTGGCATTGGAAGAAACTAATTTTGGTCGCAAAATGTCACAATTGGCGACCAAAATTTTTGGTCGCGAAATGCCACAATTGGCGACCAAACTAATTTTGGTCGCAAAATGTCACAATTGGCGACTAAAATTTTTGGTCGCGAAATGTGACAATTGGCGACTAAGAAATTTGGTCGGTAAAAGTCAACTTTTCGCGACCAAAATGTTTTAGCGACAAAATGGATTAGTCGCAGTAAATAAATATTTAGCGACCAAAAATTTAGTCGGCAAATGTAACTTTTCCCAACCAACGAAAATTTTGGTCGCGAATTACTTTTGCCGACCCTCAATTGGCGACCAAACTAGCGACAAAAAAAATTGGTCGCGGATAACTTTTGCCGACCAAAAATAGACTTTTAGCGACCAATTTTTTTGTTGCCAAAAGTGTTAATTCTTGTAGTGAATATAGGGTCAGTATCATGTCTCAAATTAGTCGAAGTTATCCCTTCTTATGAAATATAGTATCAATATAGTGAGAAATTGATTTTTTTTATTTGGTTAATCTACTCATTATTTATAATATTTTAGATTATATTTTAGACTCATAAATTCATACTTAATCAATATTTTTTTAGATTCATTTATAATTAAAAATAAGATTGAAAACACAGAAATCTTTCCTAGCACGTCAATTTCGTACAGTAGAATATGATGGGCATAGCCCAAGAGGGTCTAGCCCATGACCCAAGAAGGCCCAATCGACCTTTGTCCTAAACCCCCCAGACAATTGCACGGACTAAAGCCCAGTAACAGTGAGAAGTCAATGTTGGCCCAAGTCCAATAACATCTGGACACTTGTCGGAAAGGTAGTCAGCCACGTGGTAGACACAGATCCTGCAGAATTATTAAACCCATACATCAAGCATTAAATGAAGATGTCATGGCATTAAATGCAATAAGACCTCTCATCTCCTGATATGGCGAAACTGTCATGGCCGACGACGAGTAGATTATAGACTTTCAGCCAATAAGATAGCTCGAATGGATAAAGGAAATGATTAGTAAAAAGCATAAGGAAGCTTGTGAAGAACGACAAAAAATGACAAGTAACACTTTCTTCCCCCTCCCTCTCAACTTTTCTATTCACCTTTTTTCGATCACTTTCTGTCTAACTTAACCATTGGAGGGTCTATGGGGAGAAACTACTCCAGCCTTGGTACCTCCCCACCGGACCTTTTGCATGTACACATTAAGGAGACCAAGGCCAGCAGACACTGTAGAACATGTGGATCAGTCCAACACATCCTCCATTGACTATATTGCATTATCAGAATATATTTTACATTGTATATATTCATCTTTTACATTATTTAGTTTGTTGTTGTTAAAGATGAATTTTTTTTA